CATCACCAAGTATTCGTAGGAGCCGTATCTGGTACGGAACGCCGTCTTGTGGATCGAGTTGTCCGCCATCTTGATCTGCCAGTAACCCGACCGTAGGTCCAACTTCGAAAAGACTGTTGCACCACGCAGTTGGTCCAGTAGGTCGTCTATGCGCGGTATGGGGTATTTGTTTTTAACTGTCTGCTTGTTCATTGCGCGGTAGTCGATGCACATCCGTAGACTGCAGTCTGGTTTAGGAGTAAAGAGAACTGGTGCACCGTATGGAGAGGTGGATGGGCGGATCAGTTGTCTGTCTAGTAGATACTCGATCTGTTTCTTCATGTTTGTCAGTTCGGTCGGACTCAGACGGTATGGTGCACGTGAGACGGGTTTCGCACCTGGTTCCTCCACGATCTCGTGCTCGTGGGTGCGTGCAGGGGGTACGCCTGCACGTAGGTCGTCGGGCATTATATCCTTGTACTTCTCCAAGACCTCCTTCACTGCTATAGGTAGTTCTGTGTTCGGCTTCTCCTTCTCTGCAGCTGCCATAACCAGTGCTAGGTATCCCGTGTTATTCTCGTCCACCGTCTATTCAAACCGTGCCAGTGTCGTTTCAGGTACGTCCCCTGTATCCGTCCAGCTTTGTAGTGCTATCCGCTTCCCGTTGTTGTAGATGCACACCTTCCTGTTGACCCAGTCGATCTCGGGGTTGAACCGCTTCAAGAAATCTCGCCCCAAGATGAAATCTAACCCTTTGATGTTCGTGATCGGCAACGTCAGCTTCCACCTTAGTGCCCCTATGTGCAGCTGCAGTGATGCTTCGCCGTGGATGGGAAGTTTCGTACTGTCCACCATCGTTGCCGAGAACTTGGTCTCCTCGGAAGGTTCCCCAATTTTCTCCAACGTCCCACGGTCACACACCGAGTGAGATGCACCGCTGTCTACTAGTGCCTGTAGGCGTCGTCCTTTGCATAACACCTCGAGGATTAGTGGTGCCTGCTGTGCTGAGTAGCCAAAGAGGGTCTCATTGATAGGATCATAGGGTACATCAATATGGATACCATCCCTATTTCCTATACTTGCCTCTGCACTTTTCTCTTCCAACTTCACCTGGGGGGTAGGAGGAGTTTTCCGAGGCTTATACAACTTCTCAGGAGCCTTGAATTTTCCTCTAAGCCTTGGCAGCTGTGTAGGCTTCACCTGTGGGCAACGGGGAGCCTTAACACTGTGCTGCGGGGAGGGAATATTAACTCCACGGAACGCACGACCCTTTTCTACGCTCCGTAGTACTTTGCCCAACTTCTCAGGTACCTGAATAATGTCTGAAGGCTTTTTCTTGGCCTCTAAATCTCCCCTGAATTTTTCAAGGGCTTGAAAACCACGAGAAGCACTATTTTTCGTTAGAGTATCTTTATAGGATACTTTTAACGAATTCTTACTTTCGTGGGTGTTCGGCTGGAGTTTCCCGGTCGGTGCAGAGTCTTTTTTCGCGGAGCCTCCATTCGCCTCGGCGATTTCCCTTGATGCCGGCCGGTCGTGATGTTTTATATTCGCGCCATCTTTTTCTCCTTTTTTCACCCGTTCCGAAGTCGCCACATCGTCGCCTTTTCCTGCTTTTTTGATCTTTACGCGATCGCTAGGTCGATTCGCGGCTACTGGCGATTCCTGTTTTTTATCTTCGGGGGTGCTCCACTGTTACCATCCCGGAGTGCCGCACGTGCTTTTTTCATTTTGTAGCACGACAAAAACTGATGCCCCGCTGCGCCGCAAAACTCGCATTTTGTTGGCTGCTGCTTCGCGTCGTATTTGTCGATATCCATCGGTTCGGCGAACGTGGGGGGTGCCGATCGCTCCGTGCCGAATGTACAGTTTGGCGTGAAGCGTCGTGTTTTGGGTTGACCTCGAGTCAATGCGTCGTACCGCTCGGCAGCACGCACGATGTCGCGGTAACTGTTGTAATTCGCTGCGAGGACCTGTCGGCAAATCTCCAATTTTAACTCGTTTGTGTACGCTTGGATTTTTTCGCCTTCAGTCAGGTCGGTGCTGCGTGTACTGTGCTACACTACTGTATTGCTTGTGACGGTGTATCTGCTGCAGCGCCATGTAGGTCATATTAATGGGTTCGAAACGCTCGATTAAGTCTGCACGAAACTGCTGCCACGTTTTCTCCCCGCGGGCTACGTCAGTGTAATAAATCCATTCGAGTGCCGGTCCACGTAACAGCGTCGCTGCGAGCCGAATTCTTGTTGCGTCGTCTTGCGGGGTCGAATATCCAATGGCCTCGAAGTAAATTTCGAGGGTTGCCACAAATCGCCAGACATCGGATCCCTTCGAGGGTTACAGGAGTAACTGGCTTCGCGGCTTTAGACGAGCGGCAGGAGCAACTGACCCACAAGCGACTGGCGACTACCGGAGATTGTAGCCTCCGAACTGCTGGTGCTGCTGACGACAAGACTGCTGCCTCCACTCAACCTCCCCCAGCTGCCCAACGGCCCTCTCACACACCCCCTGCTCAAACCCTAGCCCTACACCCACAGCACCCCCTTAAACCCTAAACCCCAGACTCCCACACATCCACCCCCCTCAGCGATAGCTGCAGCAGTGGGAGACGAAGGAGGAGAAGGAGGGGACGGCACGCACAACCGACACCCCCACAACCATCACCCCCACACCCACCCCCCCACGGCTGCACCGGGTCCAGGAGCGGGTGCTGCAGGGGCTGCTGCTGCTGAGGCGGCTGCTCCAGGGGCTGCTGCTGGGGCGGCTGCTGCAGGGGCTGCTGCTGCTGGGGCGGCTACTCCAGGGGCTGCTGCTGCTGGGGCGGCTGCTCCAGGGGCTGCTGCTGCTGGGGCGGCTGCTCGAGGGGCTACTGCTGCTGGGGCGGCTGCTCCAGGGGCTGCTGCTGCTGGGGCGGCTGCTCCAGAGGCTGCTGCTGCTGGGGCGGCTGCTCCAGGGGCTGCTGCTGCTAGGGCGGCTGCTCCAGGGGCTGCTGCTGCTGGGGCGGCTGCTGCAGTGGCAGCGGCTCCAGGGGCTGCTGCTGCTGGGGCGGCTGCTCCAGGGGCTGCTGCTGCTGGGGCGGGTGCTCCAGGGGCTGATGCTGCTGAGGCGGCTGCTCCAGGGGCTGCTGCTGCTGGGGCGGCTGCTCCAGGGGCTGCTATTGCTGGGGCGGCTGCTCCAGGGGCTGCTGCTGCTGGGGCGGCTGCTCCAGGGGCTGCTGCTGCTGGGGCGGCTGCTCCAGGGGCTGCTGCTGCAGCGGAAAGTAGGAGGGAGGGGAGGGGAAGGGCGCGGCCCCCAGGGTGCCCTGACGGGCGATGTGCTAGGGAGCCGCGCAGGCCCCCGAAAGTGCCTTGACGGGCGACGGGAGGGGACCGCGCGCAGGCCCCTAAGGCGCCGCGACGAGGCAACGGGAGGGGCCGGCTCGCGGGCCCCGAAAGTGCCGCGACAAGGCGACGGGAGGGGCCTGCGTGCGGGCCCCCAAAACGCCGCGACGAGGCGACGGTCGGGGCCAGTGCGCGGGCCCCCAAGACGCCGTGACGAGGTAGGAACCCGCCGCGCGCCTCGGGGCGCACGGCGGGCAGAAAACCGCCACGCGTTCCGAGCGCGTGGAGGGAAGAAAAATAGGATGTCGCGCGCCACGGGGCGCGCGACACACAGTAGGGCAGCGGAAGCAAGTGGGCCCACAGGCAAGGAGCGTTAAGCTCTGATTCCATGTTGAGGTACTAGAGTTTAGTAGGCTTAGAAGCCATGGTTTAGGAGTAAGTTTAGTGATCGAGTTGTAGGGTGTAAGGAAAATGTCGAGAGATTTTAGAAGGAGAATGTTGAAACTAGAAAGGAGGGGGATACAAGTAGTAAGCCCTAAAAGGGTTATACTCACTTTTGAGTACCCCACTACAGACTAGACATGCATTATAATCTGACAATCGGATCCCTTCGCGGTGGGATCGAACGCTTCCGGGAGCCTCGATCGTGCTGCTTCGAGGTTTGGCGACAGTGGTGCCATCGATCCGTGAAATGTCGGTGTCGCCACTGCTACGGGTGCTGTCGCTGCTACGTGTCAAACTCATATGTTGTAGTCTGTGTAGGCTGTAGTGGGGTAGACAATATGGGGTACAACACTTTTAGGTTTTCCTACTTGTACCCACCTACATGCTAGTTCATTCATTCCTCAATTTCTTCACATGGTATAGAGCAGGTTCCCTAGTGGGAACGCTTCTCAGGGCCCACCACTGAATTTTTTTTTCCTGACCGGAGCGCGAGTCGCCCCTGCCCGAGGCGCGCCCCGTTGGCCGCCCTCACGTCGCCTCTCACGGCCCCTCGCGCCACCCATAGCGGCCCCGTCGCCACCCCTTACGGCCCCGTCGCCGTCCTTTGCGGCCCCGTCGCCGCCCCTCTAGGCCCCTCGCGGCCCCTTCGCGGCCCCGTCGCCGCCCCCTCTAGGCCCCTCGCGGCCCCTTCGCGGCCCCGTCGCCGTCCCTAGCGGCCTCGTCGCCGCCCTTCGAGGCCCCTCGCGGCCCCTTTGCAGCCCCGTCGCCGCCCCTATCGGCCCCGTCGCCGCCCCTATCGGCCCCGTCGCCGCCTCTAGCGGCCCCGTCGCCGCTCCTACCGGCCCCGTCACCGCCCTTCAAGACCCCTCGCGGCCCCTTCGCGACCCTGTCGCCGCCCCTAGCGGCCCCGTCGCCGCCCTTCGAGGCTCCTCGCGGCCCCTTTGTGGCCCCGTCGCCGCCCCAGGCGGCCCCGTCGCAGCCCCTATCGGCCCCGTCGCCGCTCCTAGCGGCCCCGTCGCCGCCCCTATCGGTCCCGTCGCCGCTCCTAGCGGCCTCGTCGCCGCCCTTCACGGCCCCTTCAGCTGCCAAGCAGCCGAACCACCGAGCCGCCCAGCCGCTGAGCCGCCCAGCAGCCGAGCCGCCGAGCCACCGAGCCGAGCCACCGAGCCGCCGTCGAGCCGCTACTGTTCCTACCGGCGCGCACCGGCCCTACCCACCCGGACTGGTGAGAGCCCTCTTTACTAGACCACTGCTGTCATGGCTACCCCCAGTGTCCTTACCTTTGATGCTGAGGGTCGTGCTGTTGACTTTGAGGTCTGGGTCGATGACCTCCAGATCTTCCTACAATGCGATAGGGCAGACGGCCTCTCCCTGTTTGATCTCACCTCTGGTGCCTCTCCTGCCCCGCCTGCTACTACTGACGGCACTGTTCGCTCACAGTGGGCCACACGCGATGCTGCTGCCCGTCTTGCTGTGCGTCGCCACTTACCGGCCGCTGAGCGCGCGCACTTTAGTCAGTACAATAGTGCTAAGACCCCGTACGACGCTGTAGTTGCACGCTACTCTTCCCCTGCCACTGCTGCTCTTAGCCGCCTCATACAGCCGTACCTGTTCCATGACCTTGCTGCCTTTCCCACAGTCGCTGACCTCATTACGCACCTTCGCACTAGTGACACTCGCTACCGCGCTGCGCTTCCTCCTGAGTTCTGTGCCAAGAACCCTCCCCCCATGTACATCACCCTCTACTACATAGTCACCCCACTCCCTGACTCCCTTCGCTTAGTCAGGGACCACTTCCTCTCAGTTTGCCCCACCACACTCACCGTTGACCTCCTCGAGGAGCGCCTCCTGGCAGCAGAGAAGAGCATAGTTGCTGTAGGAGCCTCTCGTGGTGACCCTCGTACCCACGTCTTTGAGGGGTGTTCCCCCTCCCCCCTCTTGCCCTCTGTTGCTTCTGCTGCTGCGGCCGACCTCGTTGGCTTCGAGTCGGTCGGCGCTGCGTCTGCCCCTAGCGAGAGACGCCGCACCGGCAAGGGCAAGGGGGGCAGGGGCGCTGGAGGGGCTAGCGGGGGCGGTGGAGGTGGTGGTGGAGGCAGTGGAGGGGGTGGGGGTGGTGGTGGGAGTGGTAGCCGGGGGGGAGGTGTCGGTGGCAGCAGTGGAGGCGGAGGAGGCGGCGGCGGTGGCGGTGGGAGCGGAGGCGGCGGAGGTGGCGGAGGCGGCGGCGGCGGCGGCGGTGGAGCTGGTTGCAGCTCTGCACAGAGGAGTGGCTCCGGTGGTGGTCTGCGCCAGCTGCAGCAACGCACTCGTGAGACCCCGTCCCCCCAGCAGCTTCGTGAGTGGTAGGCTGCGCGTCAGCGAGGTGGGGGTACTGGTCCCTGTACCTACGTCCTCTGTACCGGCGACCGCGCTGGTGAGCAGTGCGGGGGGCTCGCACTCCACCCAGCGCTGCTTCGGCCGCTTGACGGACGCTTGGCGTCACCAGTTCCATGACGCCACTGAGATCCCTCGCTGGGGAGAGCTGACTAGGGCGGGGGTTGCTATCTTTGATCTTGACTATGATAATATTCTTGCTGCCATGTATGCTGTGTCTGCTAGTGATGAGGGTGACAGTTAATTGTGTGTTCAGCCAGACCCGGGCATTGAGGCTGCTGCTTTAGGTACTATTGAGGCTGCTGCTCTAGGTGCTAGTGCGTCTGCTGCCCCAGGTGCTGGTGAGTCTGCTCTCTCAAGTACCACGTCAGCTCAGGCCTTACACACCTTCACCCTTGACTCGGGTGCTTCCCGCTCCTTCTTTCGAGACCACACCACTCTTACGCCACTTAGTCGGCCGGTTGCGGTCTCCCTAGCGGACCCCTCTGGGGGTCCTGTCCTGGCTCGCTTCTCCACTTTCTTACCGTGTCCGGAAACCCCCTCTGGCACCCTATCAGGTCTCTACCTCCCCTCGTTCTCTATGAACTTGGTGAGTGGTGCTCACCTACAGGATGGGGGGTTTGACCAGTTCACTCCTGCGAATCAGCGGGTGACCCACTGTACGTGTGCTCGGACGGCCGACACTTGGCCACGTTTACCCGTCGGCCGGGGTCGAGCCTGTATACACTGACTACTGAGTCTCCTCCGTTTGCTGAGTCTGGTCACGTACAGTAGCTGCGTCAAGTCAGGTGTTTACTGCAGCGTCCAGGTCTGGTCCTGAGTCTGCTCCCTGCTCGTGTCATCTCCTGTCCCACCAGACTCTCCTTTGGCACCACCGCCTTGATCACCCCTCCCTGCCTCGCCTCCGAGGCATGGCCTCCCGAGTTCTTGTCTCTGGTCTCCCCCGGTCCCTCCCTCCCCTCCCTCCGGGGCCTGCACGTACCTGCGTTCCCTGCGTCGAGGGGCGGCAGCGCGCCGCCCCTCACTCATCCGAGTTTCCTCCGACAGAAGCTCCCCTGCAGACTCTTCACATGGACGTGTGGGGACCCGCCCGCGTCCGTGGCCAGGGTCACGAGCGTTACTTCCTGTTGGTGGTTGACGACTACTCGCGTTACACCACGGTGTTCCCCTTGCGCAGCAAGGGCGACGTCACTGAGGTGTTGATCGACTGGATCCGCGCGGCTCGTCTCCAGCTCAAGGAGAGTTTCGGCTCGGACTTTCCTGTTCTGCGTCGGCACTCTGATAGAGGCGGGGAGTTTTCTTCTGCCCTTCTGGGAGCCTTCTGTCGTGCACAGGGCATCCACCAGACCTTCACGCTTTCGGCCTCTCCACAGTAAAATGGGATTGCTGAGCGCCGCATTGGCATGGTCATGGACGTCGCTCGTACGTCCATGATCCATGCGGCTGCTCCCCATTTTCTGTGGCCGTTTGCGGTTCAGTACGCAGCGCATCAGCTCAACCTTCAGCCCCGGGTCTCCTTGCTAGAGACCTCCCCCACCTTGCGGTGGACGGGGAAGGTTGGCGATGCGTCTGCGTTTCGGGTCTGGGGATCTCGGGCGTTTGTCCGTGACTTGTCTGCGGACAAGCTGTCCCCCCGTGCTGTTCCCTGCGTCTTCCTTGGCTTCCCCCCTGACGCGCCTGGTTGGCAGTTTTACCACCCCACCTCGCGCGGTGTTCTGTCCTCCCAGGACGTCACCTTTGACGAGTCGGTGCCTTACTACCGTCTCTTCCCCTACCGCACTGCGCCCCTCTCCCCGCCGCCTCTCTTCCTTGCGCCAAGTCCTCCCCCGGTAGACCCTTTCCCCCCTTAGGGTCCTACCTTGTCAGGTGTGTCCCAGGTAGACGCAGTCGAGCTTGTCGAGGTAGCTGTTGACTCTGGTGCTGCTAGGGGTGCTGAGCCTGCGGGTGCCGGGTCTGGGGGTGCTGAGCCTGGGGATGCGGAGCCTGGGGGTGCTGAGTCTAGGGGTGCTGAGCCTGGGGGTGCTGAGTCCGGGGGTGTTGAGCTTGGGGTTGGGGAGTCTAGGTGTGCTTAGCCTGGGGGTACAGAGCCTGGGGGTGCGGAGCCTGGGGGTGCTGGGTCTGCTCGTGTGGCCTCTGGCGGTGCTTCGTCGAGGCGGGAGCTACTCTCTCCGCAGGAGCTGCGCGAGTGGTTTTGCCTAGCGCTGGAGCCGTGCTACTGGAGCTGGAGGTACTACTGTTGCTGCTGGTCATGAAGGTGCTCGTACTGGTGGTACTGAAGCTGCTGGGACTGAGGGTGCTGCTGGGGCAGCTAGAGTTGGTCCTGCTGGAGGTACTGCTGGAGCTGCTGGCGGTACAGGAGCTGACGGTCTTGCTGGAGCTGGAGCTACTAGGGGTGTTGGCGCTGGAGGTGCTGCTGGCGCTGGTGCTTCTTAGGGTTCTGGAGTTGGCGCTGTTGGGGCTGGAGGTGCCGCTGGTGCTGCCGCTGGGTTTACTGGTGCTGTCCCTGCAGGTTCTGGGGGCGCTGCGCGGCCCCGGCCGTACTTCGTTCCGCTCCTTGAGCAGGTTCTTGGTCTCCCGCCCTCTACTGGTCCTGCTCCTCCCTTAGAGTGTCCATAGCCTGTCCAATCGCGGTCACAGTTACAGCCTGCCTCCCCCCTTTCTGCTCCTTCTCCCTACACTGGTCCTACTGGAGGTCTTGCTGAGCGTCGTGAGCCTGCGTCTCGTCTTGCGTCGCCTGTTCGTGCTGCTCGCACTAGTAGTCGTGCTCCGCATCCGCGTCCTCCTGCGGTCCCGGGCACACACCAGATGGCACTGCGTCCTTCCACTGCTCCTCTGCGTGTTCCGTTGCCGTCTCCTCGAGAGTCCTCTCTTCTTGTTCTTGCTGACCCGGAGTCTGACTCTCTTCGTGCTGCCAGTCCTACTGTCACGCGTCTCCTGGCTACAGTTGTCACTGACCCTTCCTTTGAGTCCACTGCTGCGTCTGCCTTAGTTGCTGAGCTTGTCGGCTTTGCTGCTCGCTGTCGTCTAGACTACGCCACTAGTCTCGTTGCTGAGTCTGAGTCTGTCTTTCCTCTGTCCGTCAGGGGTGCGTGTGCTCTTAGCACGGACGTCCTTGAGGACAGGCATGAGGAGTTCCAGTGTTTTGCTGCTGCTTTGCCTCATCTCGTGTCCACGCTGATTGCCCCTGAGGGAGACCCGGATGCACCAGACATCCCGACTCCTCGATCGTACGCTGAGGCGATCGAGGGTCCCTACTCCTCAAAGTGGCAGTCAGCCATGGATGCAGAGATGGCTTCCTGGAAGTCCACAGGCACCTACGTCGACGAGGTTCCCCCACCTGGGGCGAACATCGTCAGTGGCATGTGGATTTTCAGGGTGATGCAGCCGTCGGGTTCTCCGCCTGTCTTCAAGGCGCGTTACGTGGCTCGAGGCTTCAGTCAGCGGCAGGGAGTTGGCTACTTTCAGACCTTCTCTCCCACCACAAAGATGACCACTCTTCGGGTGCTGCTGCACATAGCCGCTCAGCGCGACTACGAGCTTCACTCTCTTGAATTCAGCACACCTTTCCTGCAGGGCAGCCTGCACGAGGAGATCTGGCTGCGCTGCCCACCTGGCTTCACTAGGTTGTTTCCCCGTGGTACCCAGTGGAGCCTCCAACGGCCAGTCTACGGTCTCCGCCAGGCGCCCCGTGAGTGGCACAACCCACTGAGGACTACACTTGCGGCTCTTGGGTTTGCTCCTTCTACAACCGAACCGTCGCTGTTTCTGCGCACCGACAACTCCTTGCCGCCGTTCTACATCCTCATGTACGTCGACGACCTGGTCTTTGCCACTACTGACACTGCTGGACTCGCCGACTTGAAGTCCGAGCTGCAAAAGAGACACACGTGCACAGACCTGGGTGAACTGCGCAGCTACCTTGGCTTGCAGATCACCCGGGACAGAGCACAGCGCACCATTACCCTGACTCAGTCACACATGGTATAGTAGGTCCTTCGGCGCTTCGACTTCACGTACTCCTTGCCTCAGGCCACTCCTCTGTCTACTCGCCACTCGCTCTCAGCTCTGCCTTCGGATGAGTCCGTAGAGCCGAGTGGCCCGTACCCAGAGCTTGTTGGCTGCCTCATGTACCTGATGACCTGCACACGACCTAGCCTAGCATACCCTCTTAGCATCTTGGCACGCTTTGTTGCTCCTGGGAGACACCGACCAGAGCACATGGCTGCAGCGAAGAGGGTGTTGCGCTACTTGTGCAGTACGTCGGGCATGGGGCTAATGCTTGGAGGGCGGAGTCCAGTGGTCCTCACTGGGCACGTGGACGCTTCTTGGGATGACGACCAGGCTACGTTGCGGTCGTTACAGGGTTACACCTTCAGCCTTGGCTCTGGCTCAGTTTCGTGGCGGTCTACCCGCTCGTCTTCTGTTCTCGGCTCCAGCTGTGAGGCTGAGATCTACGCGGGGGCCATGGCTGCACGGGAGCTACGCTGGCTCACCTACCTGCTGACTGACCTAGGAGAGCCGCCTCGTTCTCCTCCATTTCTGTACGTAGACAACAAGGCCATGATGGCCTTGTGTCGGGAGCACAGACTGGAGCACAGAACGAAGCACATTGCTCTTCGCTACTTCCTTGCTCGTGAGCTGCAGCAGCGTGGTCAGCTGCGCCTTGCTTACGTGGCCTCTGAGGCCAACACTGCTGATATCTTTACCAAGGCACTTCCGCCTTGTGATCATCAGCGCTTCAGTACGATGCTAGGTCTTGTGCCTACTTGGCCTCACTTGCTCACTTCTTGACCTTGCTTGTACTGTGATCTTGCTATACCTGCACTTGCTTGTTTACCTTTATATATGATCTTGCATATGAATTGGCCTTTAGGCCTTGCTCTTGTGCTCGGATTGTGTGGTGACGTTGTGATCCACCCTGAGCTTGCTTTGCTTTGCTTGACTGGTCTTGTGACCTCTTGTTCTCCCCCACTTTGCCTATGGGGGTGTGTCAAACTTATATGCTATAGTCTGTTTAGGCTGTAGTGGGGTAGACAATATGGGGTACAACATTTCTAGGTTTTCCTACTTGTACCCACCTCTTTCCTAGTTCATTCATTCCTCATTTGTGTCAAACATTATATATGTTCTGCTTCTTTAGGCTACAGTGGGTTAGCCTATAGGGGGTACACAATTCTAGGGTTAGGAACTTGTACTGATTTCACTGTTAGTTCAATCATTCCTGTTCATTCATTTCAACATGGTATCAGAGCAGGTCCTTCCTAGGACCGATTTTTTTTTAGGGCCCACCACTACCTGAGTCGCACTGCCTACTGTTTTTGGGGTGCCCCTACTGCTATTACTCCTACTAGTGCTATGGCTAGCCCTCCTGTACTGGCTTTCGATGCTGAGGGCCGCCCAGTGAAGTTCGAAACCTGGCTAGATGACCTACACCTCTTCCTACAGCTCACTTCCAAGGAGGACATCTCACTGTACGATCACGCCCTAGGCCATGCTCCTGCTCCTGCTGCTACTGCTGACAGCACTGCCCGCTCACAGTGGCAGACTCGTGACGCCCACGCTTGCTTCGCTATTCGCAACTCCCTGCCGATAGATGAGCGCGAGCACTTTGGGCAGCACAAGACTGCACAGGCACTGTACACTACTGTCGTTGCCCGCTACTCCTCACCGGCCTCTGCTGCACTAGGCCGTCTCTCTCTTCCCTACCTGTTCCCCGACTTAGCCTCTTTCCACACAGTCGCTGACCTCATTACACACCTCCGCACTAGTGAGGCTCGCTTCCGCGCCGCCATGCCTGATGAGTTCCTTGCCAAGAACCCACCCCCACTCCGGCTCACTCTCTACCACCTAGTCACCCGCTTCCCTGACACTCTGCGCTCAGTCAGGGACGACTTCCTAGCTCGCTGCCCCACTGAGCTCACCATTGCCCTCCTCGAGAAGGAACTCCTTGCAGCTGAGACTAGCATAGTCACTGTAGGTGCCTCTCGTGGCGACCCCTGTACCCCGTTCTTTGAGGGGTGTTCTCCTTCCCCCCTTCTTCCCTCTGTCGCCTCTGCTGCTGCTGTCGACCTCCTTGGTGCTGAGAAGGTCGGGACTGCGTTAGCTTCGAGCGGGCGCCGCAGCGGCAAGGGCAAAGGGGGCAAGGGCGGTGGCGGTGACAGTGGGGGAGGCGGTGGTGGGGGCGGTGGCGGCGGTGGGGGTGGTGGCGCGACTGGAGGGGCTAGTGGCAGCGGTGGGGGTGGTGGCGGCAGCGGCGGGGGAGGTGGCAGGGGTGGAGGCGGTGGTGGGGGTGGCGGTGGACGCGGCGGCGGCAGGGGTTGGGGTGGTCGAGGAGGTGGCGGCGGTGGTGGTGGTCGTGGAGGCGCTGGCGGTGGCCAGAGCCAGCAGCACACTCCGACGCCCCAGGAGGTCCGTGAGTGGTACTCTCAGCACGGGGGAGGGGGGGGTGGCTTTAGCTGCACGTACGTCATTCGCACTGGTGACCGCACTGGTCAGACGTGTGGGGGACCGCACGCCACACAGCGCTGCTTCGCTCGTCTGAATGACGCTTGGCGTGTTCAGTTCCCTCAGGCCACTGAGCTGCCCCGCTGGGTTGATCTCCTGAAGAAGGGGATTGATATCTATGCTCTAGACTTTGATGCTATTCTCACTGCTATGTATGTGATGTCTACTAGTGGAGAGGGTGCTGAGTACCTGTGTGTGCCGCCCGACCCGGGCATTAGGACTAGTGCGTCTGCCGCTCCAGGTACTCGCGTGTCTGCTACCCCAGGTGCTGGTGAGGCAGCTACTCTAGGTGCTTGTGCGTCTGCCCCCCCTGGTACTGAGTCGACGGCAGCACTGCACACCTTCACACTGGACTCAGGTGCTTCTCGCTGATTCTTTCGTGACCGCACTGCCCTTGAGCCGCTTGCTAGGCCAGTTGCTGTCTCCCTCGCTGACCCCTCTGGGGGTCCGGTCATTGCGACCTCCTCCACTGTCCTTCCCTGTCCTGCGGTCCCGTCGGGCACACTGTCAGGTCTCCACCTCCCCTCGTTCTCTACGAACTTGGTGGCAGGTAGTGCACTCCAGGACGGGGGTGTTCACCAGTTCACCCCTGCCTACGAGCGCGTGACACACTGCACGTGTGCTCGTACGGGCCGCCACTTGGCTACCTTCACTCGGCAGCCGGGGTCGGACCTGTACACACTGACCACTAAGTCCCCTCAGGTCGCTGCGTCTGCGTCTGCGTCCGCGTCAGGTCAGCTGTCTGCCCGCTGCTCGTGTCGCTCTCTGGCGCACGAGACTGTCCTCTGGCACCACCGACTTGGCCACCCGTCTGTGCAGCGCCTTCGTGCCATGCACTCCCGGTACCTTGTCTTCGGTCTTCCCAGAGTCCTCCCTCCCCTCCCACCCTCGCCTGCTCCTCCCTGTCTTCCCTGCGTTGAGGGGCGGCAGCGCACCGCTCCTCACTCCTCCTCGTTTCCCCCGACGACTCCTCCCTTGCAGACGCTCCACATGGACGTGTGGGGCCCAGCCCGCGTCCGTGTTCAGGGTTAGGAGAGGTACTTCCTGATAGTTGTTGACGACTACTCGCGCTACACCACGGTCTTCCCCTTGCGCACCAAGGGTGAGGTCCCTGATGTCTTGATCCCTTGGATCCGCAGAGCCCGTCTCCAGCTCAGCGAGCGTTTCCACTCGGACTTTCCTGTCCTGCGCTTGCACTCTGACAGAGGTGGTGAGTTCTCCTCCGACCTCTTGGCAGCCTACTGTGCTGAGCACGGCATTGAGCAGTCGTTCACGCTTCCGGCCTCACCACAGCAGAATGGGGTTGCGGAGCGCCGCATTGGCCTGGTCATGGAGGTCGCCCGTACCTCCTTGATCCATGCGGCTGCCCCCCACTTTCTGTGGCCGTTTGCAGTCCGGTACGCTGCGCATCAGCTCAACCTGTGGCCCCGTGTCTCCTTACCGGAGACCTCGCCCACACTGCTGTGGACGGGGGAGGTTGGCGATGCGTCGCGTTTCCGGGTCTGGGGATCTCGAGCTTTTGTCCGCGATACGTCTGCGGACAAGCTCTCCTCCCGTGCTGTTCCCTGCGTCTTCCTCGGCTTTGTCCCGGACGCGCCTGGTTGGCAGTTTTACCACGCCACCTCACGCCGAGTCTTGCCCTCTCAGGACGTCACTTTTGACGAGTCCGTCCCCTACTACCGCCTCTTCCCCTACCGCACTGCTCCGCTCCCCCCCCCCACCTCTCTTCCTCGCGCCAGGTCCTGCTGTCGTAGACCCCCTCCCCCCTCAGGGTGCCGCTCCCTCAGGTGTGTCTCAGGTAGACCCGGTTGAGTCTGTTGAGGTAGCTGTCGACTCTCGTCCTGCTGTGGGTGCGGAGCCTCGGGGTGCTGAGCCTGGGGATGCGGAGCCTGGGGGTGCTGAGCCTGGGGGTGCGGAGCCTGGGGGTGCGGAACCTGGGGGTGCGGAGCCTGGGGGTGCGGAGCCTAGGAGTGCTGAGCCTTGGGGTGCGGAGCCTGGGGGTGCTGAGCCTGGGAGTACTGAGCCTGGGGGTGCTGAGCCGCAGAGTCCGGAGTCTGGGGGTTCTGAGTCTGGAGGTCCTGAGCTTGAGGGTCCTACACTTGGCGGAGCCCTCTCCTCGGAGCAGCTGCGTGAGTGGTACTTCCAGTACTGCAGCCTCAGGAGAGGTACCTCTGGGGCCAGGCGTACTACTGGGACTGGTGCTAGTGCTTCTCCTCCTAGCCGGGAGCTCCCCTCCCGTGAACGGATCCGTGAGTGGTACGAGCGGCGCTGCACTCTTCGGAGTGGCGCGCCTGGTGTCGCGGACCCCGCTGTTGCTGGTGGTGCTACTGGTGCTGGAGACTCTACTGGTTCTGCTGGTGCTACGGCCCCAGAGGTTGGAGCTGTTTCTGGTGATGCGGACCCGGACGTTGGAGCTACGACTGGTGCTGCGGACCCGGGCGCTAGTGCTGCTGCTGGTGCTGAGGACCCGGGCGTTGGAGCTGCTACTGGTACTGAGGACCCCGGCGTTGGAGCTGCTGCTGGTGCTAAGGACCCTGGAGCTGGTGCTGGTGCTGGTGCTGTGGAGTCGGACGTTGTAGCTGCTGCAGGTGCGGAGGACCATGGCGCTGGTGTCTCTGCTGGTTCTGGAGTCGCTGCACGGCAGCGGCCGTACTTCGTTCCGCTCCTTCAGCAGGTTCTTGGTCTCTCGCCTTCTCTCGGTCCTCCTCCTCCCTTAGAGTGTCCACAGCCTGTCCAGTCACGGTTACAGTTACAGCCCGCCTCCCCACTGCCTGCTCCTTCTCCCTACACTGGTCCGACTGGAGGTCTTACTGAGCGTCGTGAGCCTGCGTCTCGCCCTGCATCGCGTGTCCGTGCTGCTCGCGCTAGTGGTCGTGGTTCGCGTCAGCGTCCTCCTCCTGTCCCTGGCACGCACAGGATGTCTCTGCGTCCGTCCACTGCTCCTCTGCGTGCCCCTTAGCCTTCTCCTCCTGAGTCCTCTCTTCTTGCTTTTGCCGACCCGGAGTCGGACTCTCTTTGTGCTGCCAGTCCTACTGTCACGCGTCTCCTGGCTACTGTCGTCACTGACCCTTCTTTCGAGTCCACTGCTGCGTCTACCCTAGTTGCTGAGCTCGTTGACTTTGCTGCTCGCTGTCGCCTAGACTACGCTGCTAGTCTTGTCGTTGAGTCTGAGTCTGTCTGTCCTCCGTCCGTCGGGGGTGAGTGTGCCCTTGGCACGGACGTCGTTGAGGACAGGCAGGAGGAGTTCCAGTGCTTGGCCGCTGCTTCACCTCATCTCGCGTCCGTAC